CCCCGGCTGGAGGTAATTAGCCTGAGAAAAATTATTATTAAAGTCTTATGAGGTTTATATTCCTAGTAAATTAAAAAGAAGCGTTATGTACTCTCTTATGTATGTATAGATTTGTACCAACGAAGTTGAATAGGAGATTGAAAGAAATAGAGAGAGAAATACAAGCGTCGGTAAGAGGAATCATTCAGAAAAGGGAGAAGGCTAGGGAAACAGGACAAGCCCCAAGTGATGATTTATTAGATATGCTTTTGGAATCGAATCGCAGAGAAATCAAGGACAATGGCAACAACAAGAGCATGGGAATGAGCATTGAAGAAGTGATAAAGGAATGTAAATTGTTCTACTTTGCAGGACAAGAGACAACTGCTGTTCTCCTTAATTGGACAATTGTGCTACTTTGTAAGTATCCTAATTGGCAATCCAAAGCAAGAGAAGAAGTCTTCCAAGTATTCGGTAACCAAACTCCTGATTATGATGGCATAAATCGCCTCAAAGTGGTAAGGATATATGAATATGATATCTTATATGTTTTAAATGTTTTAGATTCATGTCATTTAGAAGCTTCATTAACATTTTTCTTCACACTTGATTACACTAGAATAATAGTCAATAATATTCATTTATGGAACAGGTAAGTATGATATTGTACGAGGTTCTTAGATTATACCCTCCAGCTCTTATAGTGAATAGGGTCGTATCAAAGGATGCAAGACTTGGAAATTTGAGTTTACCAGCTGGAGCTCGAGTTGCAGTTCCAGTAATTTTTATACACCAAGATTCTGAATTGTGGGGAGAAGATGCAAAGGAGTTCAATCCAGAAAGATTTTCTGAAGGAATCTCTAAAGCAACTAAGAGCCAATGTTCATATATCCCATTTGCTTGGGGTCCAAGGATATGCCCAGGCCAGAATTTTACTTTGCTTGAAGCTAAAATGGCTTTGTCCTTGATTCTCCAAAACTTCTCTCTTGAATTTTCTCCATCTTATGCTCATGCTCCTATGTCAGTTATGACCCTTCGCCCTCAGCATGGCACCCATATCATTTTACGGAAACTCTAGAGTTATTAGTTAAAGCGTCATCTAAGAAATAATTTTATGCGTGCGTTTGTTTACGCAAGTCATGAAAATATGTTTGTATTTGCTGTCTGTAGTCATTGAATGACTATCCTAGTATTCATATTATACAATGTTATATGCTTTTAGATGACTCTGTTAGTAAGTTTTAATCTTGTTTTGTATCTAAATTTACTGTTGGAGGGAAATTGGAGTCCCTTTGATTGCTTTCATTGAGTTTCCAAAAAAAAAAAAAAAACCCTCTAATTTTAAAAGTAATATATGAGGGGTATGTGTCTGAGACTTCACCTCTGATCTCTTTCTGTGCATCCATGGAAGCTCCAAAATTCTATCATCGTTGATGTAGTTAGAGTGGTGAAATATTACTTGAATTCTTACTAAGGCATCTCAATATTATTTCGGCAGAATTAATGAGTGTTTAAATGATTAAATTTTTTTAAAAATAAAAAATTTCAAGTTTGCTTTTACATCTCGAAAAAAGAAAAGAAAAGACAGCTGTCAAAAATATTTTTTTATAAATTGAGATGACGGTTCTCTCTTCCTGGGATATGATATGGGTCCCTACAGCTATACCCCCTCCCCCAAAAAAAAAAAAAAAGATTGACAGGTATGTGGCAAAAATGGATCCACTGCTCTGCACATCAGTCAACGCTGTCTCAACCATTTGCTTAAATCTTTGTAAAAGGGCAAATGTCGACAAGGAACTAGGGAGAGAGACACTGAAATGCACCTTAATGAGTTGACCAAAGCAGGAAAAGTCACCTAAAAAGACATTTTCCGATCTTCATAATACGATGCAAGGCCTGCCATTGACCTTATCTGGCGATTTAATTGGGGACCCCAACTCTGAACAATTACTCCTTCCTTTTTCTGGATCTAAATATAAGGACTTGGAGGTTAGGATGTTCTATTCACTACACCATATCACAGTACGAAATATGAGGGTGTACTCTAATTCGAAGGAGATTAATTTTTCTTATGCCTTCCCAAAAGAAATCATGATGTGTAAGGTTTTCATAAAGATTATGCAATTAGCTGAATTTGATGTTTCATCTACACTTAACTATTTTTTCTTCCTTTCTTCTTTGATATTTCAATAAATTTATATATAACAAGCCGCATTATTCATAAAGTAATTTTGTAATTTGATTATTGTGGGGGCTGGTTTTGCAGGCTGTTCTCGTTGCTATTGCTATGGAAACCGGTTATTTAAATTAACTAGTTAAATTAACTAAATTAATAATCCAATTCATCCAAACAAATTACAAAAAGAAAATCCACTCAAATCTTCAAAATAAGATGAGGCGTACGTGTCCATTGACCTGTCGGCGATCCTTTTCATTCAGTTTGAGACCCTAACTCTGATCTCTGCTTCCTGTTCAGAGTCATGGAAGCAAATTCTATGATTGCTGCTACAGGTATGGTGGTGACAGTGATAGTGATAGGAAAAGTGCTGAACTGGGGGTGGCTGAGGCCTAAACGACTCGAGAGATGTCTTAGACGACAGAACCTCAAAGTAAACTCTTACAGACTACTTGGCTTAGGAGACTTAAAGGAAATGGTTCAGATGTTTCAAGAAGCCTACTCAAAGCCCATCAATACAGAGGATGATACTATCCCTCGTGCTCTTCGTTTCATCACCAGATGATTCAGAACTATGGTATACCCCTTTATGGTCATATGTTTTAATGATGCATATAGTTTGTGTTTTGAATCTGCATTGAGTTGTTTTTATTGCAGGTAATAATTCCTTTATGTGGTTTGGTCCATATCCGGCAGTGACAGCTGCAAACCCAGAAGACATAAAGGAGGTTTTAAGCAACATTTCTGTATTTGTAAGCTTCCTCACAATCCACTGTTTAAATTGATCATTACTGGAATATTAGACTACAATGGCGACAAACGGGTTAAACACAGGAGAATTATCAACCCTGCCTTACATTTGGAGAAGTTAAAGGTATATTTTCTTCCTCTGTTTAACTCTTTTAAGGGCAATGTACGTACCTTTCTTCGATTAACCAAAATTATGTCTATGTATGAACTTGATACAAAGCTTAATTTTGTGGCAGCTAATGTTACCGGCATTATATGAAGAAGGTAATGGAATGGTAAGGAAATGGGTTAGCTTGGTGGGTGAAAACAAAAAACGCATGTTGTGAGATGGACGCATGGCTTTTCTTTCAAGCATGACCAGTGATGCTATTTCTCGAACAGCTTTTGGAAGCAGTTATGAAGAAGGCCAACGGATATTCCAACTCCAACCTGAACAAGCTCATCTTACCCTCAACGTCATTCGTTCTGTTAATATTCCCGGAAGGAGGTAATTTGTTTGAGAAAGTTTATCTTTAGAATTAAAGTCCTTTCTTGCTTAAAGGTTTAATAAATTATGAAAAATCAGTTATATACTGCTCACTTTGATCGTATCTTGCTTGTGTATGTAAAAATTTGTAGCAGCTAAGTTGAACTGGAGATTGAAAGAAATAGTGAAAGAAATACAAGTGTTGGTCAAAGGAATCATTCAGAAAAGGGAGAAGGCCAAGGAAGCAGGAGATGCCCCAAGTAATGATCTATTAGATACGCTTTTGGAATCTAATCATAGAGAAATCAAAGACAATGGCAACAACAAGAACATGGGAATGAGCATTGAAGATGTCATAAAGGAATGTAAGTTATTCTACTTTGCAGGACAAGAGACAACCTCTGTTCTCCTTCCTTGGACAATTGTGTTACTGTATAAATATCCCAATTGGCAAACAGAGGCAAGAGAAGAAGTCTTCCAAGTATTCGGCACTCAAGCACGTGATTATGATGGTTTAAATCGAGTGAAAATGGTAAGATTATATGAATACGATATTCTATCGTTATTTTCTATTTTACCGATTCCATGTCATTCCAAAGTATCATTAATATTTGTATGTTATAGATAAGTATGATATTGTGCGAGGTTCTTAGATTAAATTTTCCGGCTCTTGTGATGAGTATAAGCTTAAAAGGAAAGCTCAAGTCCAAAAGACTATTCTATAAGAAGGGAAAACCCTTTGAACTTATAAATCCCATAACAGTTGTGAGATTTATCAATGTGAAACTCATAATAGAGTATCCTTCTCGAGAGTTGATATTCCCAGTAGCTTTACTCTACAGCACTTCACTCAGTCTTCTTATTTCGTAGGTAGCCTTTTGCTATTGGTTGACTCTCAACGAAAACATCAATATAATAAGTATAAACTCAAAAGGAGAACCTATCCTAAAAGACTAACCTATTAGGTAGGAGACTCATATCATCTCCTTTGGTGATGATGGTTGTATCAAAGGATACAAGACTCTGAAATCTAAGTTTATCAACTGGAACTTAAGTTGCAATTCCAATAATTACTGTACAATAAGATCCGCAATTGTGGGAAGAAGATGCAAAATACTTTGACGTGTTGGATACACTAAAAAATATTTCACGATGCTAGACGTACTTAAAAAAATATTTCAGGGTGTTGGATGTATTATAAGATTTTTAGGGTGCCGGATGCTAAATACATCTTAATCCTCTATATATATATGTGTGTGTGTGTATATATAGCCGTGGGACGATTATCTAATTATTCAGATCAGTGTTATATGCTTCTAGATGGCTCGCTTGGAAATTATGTATTTTAATTTTTCGTGTTCTAGAAAATCACGAGTTTCTGTTGAAAATTCTCTAAAAGGAAGGTTCCTTCCATTGCTTTGGGTCAATGTAAGACTTTGACTAATTAAAAACATGTTTTTGACAAAAGGGCACAAGTGACGAGGGAGAGAGCCGCTGAAATAAAAAGGGGCCAAAAAAGAAATAAAAAAATGAAGAAAGAAAGAAAGAAAATCCCCTTAAATTGGGACCCCCTCTTTTCTTCAAAGATCAGATCTTATGTGACCCATGTCCACTGATCTTCAGTGATCGTCGTTGTTTAATTTTAGTCCCCCAAACTCTGTTCTTTCTCCGTTTAGCCATGGAAGCTCTAGAAATCCCTTCACTGAGAGTTGCAAATTCTCTTATTGCTGGTATAGTTATCTTTGTGATAGTGGGAGTGATCGGAAGAGTGGTGAATTGGCTGTGGCTGAGACCGAAACGACTTGAGAGATATCTCAGAAGACAGAATCTAAAGGGAAACCCGTACAGGCTGGGGTTCGGAGACTTGGAGGAGATGTCTCAGATGATTCAAGAAGCCAAATCTAAGCCCATCAACTTAGACGATGAGATCATTCCTCGTGTCATTCCTTTTCGTCATCAACTGATTCAAAACTATGGTACACCCTTTCCTATGTTGTCCCCGTCTTCTCTCCTCTGTCACGTATTTCATCCGTGAGCCTTTGTTTGAGGCTCTGTTTGGTTGGAGGCTTGTAAGGGGAGCGAGGAAGAGAGAAATATTATGTTTAATATTGACTAAACTATTCATACTAGTTTTTTAATATTCTAAGTTTGTTTTTCTTATTAGAAACTCCTTTTCACCTCTTTTCTTTTTCTTCCATCTTCATTTGTCATATTTTCTTCTCTCATCAATTTTATATCTGGAGCATAGTTCACTAACGCTGTCGTCATTTCTGCCTCCTCCCTCTGCTCGTCCATCTCCAAATATATAATAGCTAATATATCTATTAGATTCTAGTGTTTCCTACGTCTCTTCCCAAATTTGCATCATATTATCTTTGGTGATTTGATAAGCAAGATTAGCAAAGTCTGTTACTTGAAAATGAAAAGATCATTAGTTAAATTTTGGTTCCGATTTTATCGTGTTGTCCTAAAAAGGTGTATCTTATTTTGAATTTCATACCACACGTTAACTACTCTTTCTACTGCAATCGATGTCAATGTAAACGGTAACTTTAATGATACACTAGATTAGTATGTAAGTTAAAATGTATGTATATTAATTTAGTACCCAAAACTAACAAAAAAATTTTGTGATATGATATTTAAAAAGGAAAATTACATTAAGGTCCTACCTAAAAAGTTTAAATACAAAATAGTCTTTATTTGTCATATTTTCTTCTCTTACTAATTTTATATCTCCTGCATAAAAATATTGTAATCAAAGAATAAAATAGTCTAAATATAGAGACAATGACATATTTGCTAATTTATAATTACCTTCCCTCCCCTTCTTTTATGAACCAAAGAAGAAATCCCCCTCCCTTACTCTTTTCTCCAACCAAACAAAACTCATAACCTCTCTTGCCATCCTCTCCCCTTCCCTCCCCTCTCCTGCCTTCTGTTGAACCAAACAAAGCCGGAGGGAGAAACTCCTTTATGTGCTGTATGCACTGCTCCGTATTGTTTGCCACCGAACTAATTGAAATTGAACCCATGCTTATATGTTTGATATATAGTAAGAATCACTTTATGTGGTCTTGAATCTCTACTGATTTATTTTTATTATAGGCAAGAATTCCTTTATGTGGTTTGGTCCAACTCCAATGGTGACAATTGCAAACCCAGAAGATATAAAAGAGGTTTTTAGCAACATTTCCGTATTTGAAAAGGTTCCTAGCAATCCATTGAGTAAATTTTTAATTACTGGACTCGTAGACTACAATGGTGAAAAATGGACGAAACACAGAAGAATTATCAACCCCGCCTTTCATGTAGAGAAGTTAAAAGTACTTTTTTTCCTTCCTTTTTTTCATGCGTTAATTCTCTTAATTAAGGTGATATATGCTTTTTGTCTTTTTCCTAATTCCAAAGCTTAAACTTGTGGCAGCTAATGTTGCCTGCATTTTGTGAGAGTTGTGATGATATGATAAAAAAATGGATGAGACTAGTGAATGAAAATGAAAGGGGTTACTGTGAGATAGATGTGTGGCCTTTCTTTCAAACCATGACAAGTGATGTTATTTCTCGAACTGCTTTTGGAAGTAGTTACGAAGAGGGCCAACAAATATTCAAACTTCAATCTGAACAAGTTCTTCTTACCCTCCAAGTCCTTCGTTCTGTTTACATCCCCGGCTGGAGGTAATTAGCCTGAGAAAAATTATTATTAATGTTAAAGTCTTATCAGGTTTATATTCCTAAAAAATTGTGTTAAAAAGAAGTGTTATAAACTCTCTTGTGTACGTATAGATTTGTACCAACGAAGTTGAATAGGAGATTGAAAGAAATAGAGAAAGAAATACAAGCATCAGTAAGAGGAATCATTCAGAAAAGGGAGAAGGCTAGGGAAACAGGACAAGCCCCAAGCGATGATTTATTAGATATGCTTTTGGAATCTAATCGCAGAGAAATCAAGGACAATGGCAACAACAAGAACATGGGAATGAGCATTGAAGAAGTCATAAAGGAATGTAAATTGGTCTACTTTGCAGGACAAGAGACAACCGCTGTTCTCCTTAATTGGACAATTGTGCTACTTTGTAAGTATCCTAATTGGCAATCAAAAGCAAGAGAAGAAGTCTTCCAAGTATTCGGTAGTCAAACTCCTCATTATGATGGCATAAATCGACTCAAAGTGGTAAGGCTATATGATCATGATGTCTTATATGTTTTATATTCATGTTCTTTAGAAGTGTGATTAACATTTTTCTTCACACTCTATTACACTAAAATAATAGTCAATGACATTTGTTTGTGTAATAGGTAAGTATGATATTGTACGAGGTTCTTAGGCTATATCCCCCAGGTCCTGTAGCAACGAGGGTCGTATCAAAAGATGCAAAACTTGGAAATTTGAGTTTACAAGCTGGAACTCGAGTTGCAATTCCAATAATTTTGATACAACAAGATTCTGAATTGTGGGGAGAAGATGCAAAGGAGTTCAATCCACAGAGATTTTCTGAAGGAATCTCTAAAGCAACTAAGAGCCAATGTTCATATATCCCATTTGCTTGGGGTCCAAGGATATGCCCAGGCCAAAATTTTACTTTGCTTGAAGCTAAAATGGCTTTGTCCTTAATTCTCCAAAACTTCTCTCTTGAATTTTCTCCATCTTATACTCATGCTCCTATTTCGGTTCTGACCCTTCGCCCTCAGCATGGCACCCATATCATTTTACGGAAACTCTAGAATTACTACTTACAGCGTCGTCATACCATACATTCTTAGAAGCAATTTTATGCTGTGCGTTTGTGTACGTAAGTCATGAAAATATGTATGTATTTGCTGTCTATAGTCATTGAATGACTGTCCTAATATTCATATCATACAATGTTATATGCTTCTAGATGACTCCGCTAGTAAGTTGTAATTTCATTGTGTAATAAAAAAAAATCATGTATTTCTGATGCAAATTTAGGTAAGGAGGGATATTAAAGTTCCTTGATTGCTTCCACTGAATTTTAAAAATAAAAAGGTCCTCTAATTTTAAAAATAATATATGAATGGTATGTGTCTGAGACCCCAGCTCTAATCTCTTCCTGTGCATTCATAGGCTGATATAGTTATTGTGGAAAAATATTAATCGAATTTTTATTAGAAAAATTTTAAAAAAATGACTGTAGAATTTTAAAATTCCAAATTAGAAATAACTATAAATATGTATTGTTATTTGCTTTTTGAATGTAGTCATTTTCTTTATGAGAATAGTAACCAATACTAGTTTAGAATTTTAAAATTTAATTATCATTTTTTTGGGATTTTTTCTTCTTATTAAGGCACCTTAATATTATTTCAGCACAATGATTGAGAAGTGTTTAAATTATTGGTTTTTTTAAATAAAAAATTCCAAATTTACTTTTATTTCAAATTATAAATTACGTCTTGGAAAATGAGAAAGGGAAAGATTACATCTATCTTTAAATATGAAGGGTTTTTTTAAGGGAAAAAATTTATTAAGTTCTCAATAGTCAATAACTTGGTAAGAAGAGAAAGCAGTTCTAATTTGAGAAGTTTGTGGCAAAATCGGATCCGCTGCTCTGCACATCAGTCAACGCTGTCTCAATCATTTGCTTAATCAATTGTAAGTGGGAAAATGTGGACATGGAATCAGGGAGATAGCCACTAAAATGAAAGGGGCGTTTGCCTAACTGTAAAAAAAAAAATATTTTTGAAAAGTATGTTTTTTTATAAACAGAGACAAAATTCTCTACATATTTATTTTATATACCGTAAAAACACTTTTAAAATTATAGTTTTGTATCTATCTAAACACCTTGAAGATATAAAAAAAGGGAAAAAAAAGTAACAATTTCTACCTGCTTGAATTGACCCAAAAATGAAACAAAGATTTGCTTAAATTGTGACCCTCTGTCTTCTTCAAAGATTAGATTTACATGACGCATGTTCATTGATCTTCGGCCATTCTCGTCGTCCCCCACAACTATGTTTTCTCTCTGTGCCGCCATGGAAGCTCCAGAAACTCAGTCACTGACAGTAGCAAGTTCTCTTATTGCCGGTATAGTTATCGTTGCGATAGTGATAGTGATCGGAAGAGTGGTGAATTGGTTGTGGCTGAGGCCGAAACGACTCGAGAGATTTCTCAAAAGGCAGAATCTGAAGGGAAACTCATACAGACTTGGGTTCGGAGACTTGAAGGAGATGGATCAGATGATTCAAGAAGCCAGCTCTAAGCCCATCAACCTACATGACGATATCATTCCTCGTACTATTCCTTTTCATCACCAAATGATTCAAAAATATGGTATGCCTCTTCCTATGTTGTCCCTAGCTTCTCTCCTCTGTCCTGTAAAACAGTTTATTTTCATCTGTGATTTTCTTCGAAGTATTCATCTTAAGAGTGACTTGGTACTTTGTTTGAGGGAGAAACTGTTCTATATGCCTTCTGCACTGCTCTGTATTGTTCACCACTAAACTAAACCCTTCTATATGCCTTGTGTACTGCTAATATGTCTGATATATAGTGGTCTTGAATCTCTATTGATTTACTGCAGGCAAGAATTGCTTTATGTGGTTTGGTCCAAATCCAATGGTGACAATTACAAACCCAGAAGACATAAAGGAAGTGTTTACAAACATTTCTGTATTTGAAAAGATTTCTGACAATCCACTTAGTGAACTTTTAGTCAGTGGGCTTGTAGGCTACAATGGCGAAAAATGGACCAAACACAGAAGAATTATCAACCCCGCCTTTTATTTGGAGAAGTTAAAGGTATATGTACTTTCTTTTTCCATGTGTTAATTCTCTTAAAATAAGAGTAATTTATTCCTTATTTTCCCTAATTTCAAAGCTTCAATTTGTGGTAGCTAATGGTGCCTGCATTCTATGAGAGTTGTAATGAGATGGTCAAGAAATGGGTGAGATTAGTGAATGAAAATGGAAGAGGATGTTGCGAGATAGATATCTGGCCTTTCTTTCAGACTATGACCAGTGATGTTATTTCTCGAACTGCATTTGGAAGCAGTTATGAAGAAGGACAACGAATATTTCAACTCCAATCTGAACAAATTATTCTTACTGCCGAGATCTTTCGTTCTATTTACATCCCAGGCTGGAGGTAATTATCTTGCAAAAAATTATTATTAATAATATTAAAGTTCTATTGGGTTTATATTCATAGTTAATTATGCTAAAAAGAACAATTACATACTCAGTTGATTACATCCTATACTTTTGTATCTATAGATTTGTACCAACTAAGTTGAATAGGAGATTAAAAGAAATTGAGAAAGAAATACAAACGTCTGTGAGGGCAATCATTCACAAAAGGGAGAAAGCAAGGGAGGCAGGACAGGCCCCAAGTGATGATCTGTTAGATCTACTCTTGGAATCCAATCGCAAAGAAATCAGAGAGAAAGGAAACAACCAGAACATGGGAATGAATATTGATGATGTCATTAGGGAATGTAAATTGTTCTATCTGGCAGGACAAGAGACAACCTCTGTTCTCCTTAATTGGACGATCGTGCTTCTATGCGAATATCCAAATTGGCAATCTCAAGCAAGAGAAGAAGTCTTTCAAGTAGTCGGCACTCAAATCCCTGGCTTTGATGACTTAAATCGTCTCCAACTAGTAAGACTACATGAACATGATGTTATATATGTTTTAAGTGACTCAGATTCATGTCATTCAAAAGTATCATTACGTTTTGCTTTAGATTTGATTATGCTAGAATTATATCCAATGATGTTTGCATTTGTGTGATAGGTAAGCATGATATTATATGAGGTTCTTAGATTATACCCTCCAGCTCTTACGTTGGACAGGGTCATATCAAAGGATACAAGACTTGGAAATTTGAATTTACCAGCTGGAACTCGAGTTGAGATTCCAGTCATCTGGGTACAACAAGATTCTGAATTGTGGGGAGAAGATGCAAAGGAGTTCAACCCACGGAGATTTTCTGAAGGAATCTCTAAAGCAACCAAGAGCCAAGGTTCATATATCCCATTTGCTTGGGGTCCAAGGATATGCCCGGGTCAAAATTTTGCTTTACTTGAGGCTAAAATGGCTTTGTCCCTAATTCTCCAAAACTTCTCTTTTGAGCTTTCTCCATCTTATGCTCATGCTCCTATCTCAGTTTTGAGCCTTCGCCCTCAGCATGGCAGCCATATCATTTTACGGAAGTTCTGAGATTATTAATTAAAGGTTCATCATACTGCGTTCTTAGAAGGACTTTTTATGCATATCTGTGTGTGTGTAGATATATATAGATATTCAAGTGATGAGAGTGTGTGTGTATATGCTGTCTATAGTCGTTGTAATATTCAGATTATACGATGTCATACGCTTCTAGATGGCTCTGTTAATAAGTTTTCATATTGTTGTGCACTAAAACATCCCATGTTTCTGATGCAAATTTACTGAAAAAAGGGAAATTGAAGTTCCTTTGATTGCTTCGGCTTGGAAGACAGGATGGGCCTCATGGGCTACAAATTTTTTTCCTTGTTTTTTTGTTTGTGGGAACAATATTGATCTTGCAGAGTGATGAAATGAAAAAGGATGGCGTCTTTTTTATGTGTTTGAAATTGAGGCAGAGTACCCTGTTTAGTGCTCTCCGTTTTTCTGGCCCTTTGACCTCTCCTCTTCATTAATTAATAATTTAATACTCCTCCGGTCTTTAATATAAAATCTATTTAATTAATTTGATTATATTAATAAAGTTAGGTAAGTTGGTTAATTATAAAAAATATAACATGCTTTTCCTAAAATACCATAATCATTTTCCTTAATATCCTCTCTCCCTCTTCTACTTAATTATGATTGAGGGAGTATTTATAGAGATAATTTAGAGAAAATTGATAAATATAAGAAATAATACCAAAATCAACTCAACAATTAGGTCTTATATTAAGAACCGAAGGAATATATTGATTAAAATTATAAAATCATTGTTCATATAACAGGGTATCTAATTCTCTCTTCATTTAACATTGGAAAATATATATTCACCACTTTTTATTCATCAAATAAATAAATAAATAAATTTCTTAATTCACTGAACTAATCTAAGACGCACCAAAACACTGAATCATCGGTATATACACATGAATGTTCGGATTAAACGTATGCATGTACATCGTTACTTTCATAATTACTCCTCGGATACTTAATATATGATCTAATTATTGAATTGATTTTGGTTCTAAATATAAGACATATTTATCAATTTTTTCTAGGTTAGCCATATGGATATTTTCTCAACCATAATCAAGTAGAAGAGGGAAGGAAAATATTAAGGAAGATGATTATGGTGTTTTAGAAAAAAACATATCATATTTCTTATAATTAACTAACTTATCTAACTTTCTTAATCTAATCAAATTAGTTAAATAAGTCTTATATTAAGAATCAGAGAAGTATTATTCTTTCTATACAAACGGTATATATAAAGACATATTCATTCATTCATCAGCTTTTTTTCCCATGAATGCATGTAAAAATTTTTTGTAGGGGACAATTTTATTAGATGAATCAGCACAATTTTAGAAGCTGTAAATCTAGGAGTGTTTGATTAATTAGGATTAATTTAGCTTTTGTGGAGTTTGATTAGGGCTTTCATGAACATGATAAGTACTGCTAGTCGAGTTTCGTCCAATACTCATCAAGTAAGAAATTAAAAAAAAAAGAAATTAAAAAAATAGAAATGAAAGAAAATTTTAATTTTATACATTTGTCAACAAAAACACGATTATCTTTGTTTAAAATATATTTCCCTAAAAAATAATGTTAGAGTCAAAATTAAAATTCAATAAAATTACAGATGGTCAATAACGATACAAGTATACAACATTTATTCTGCGTATTAAGTTTTAAGAAATTCAAAATTCA